TTGTAGCCCTAATATCCAACACATTAAAAAATACATAATAGGTTGGAAGCTCTTCGAGGGCAAGAAAATGTTTTTGTGTTCACTGTTGCACCCTAGTATCTGTGTGTGTATATATATATATTTATATATATATAAAATACCATTTAGTATAAATAATAAATATTTCTTGAGTAAATAAATGGATATAAAGTTTGTTGCATGATTGAATGAAAGATGGATACTAATTTCTGCCCTAACAGTCACAGGGATATTGAGAGGGTCATACAAAAACATATATGTGACTGGATTTTATAAATTGAACAAATTTAAGGTGTTCCTATTGTTATAGTTCAAGCAGAACATGCTGGTTTCATTATCTTTGCTCTTAATTGCATTTATAAATACATCTATAGCATTTTGAATCATTCCATCTGCTTTTATCTGTTTAGACAGAAACTAATTAAAGGCTGTTTAGCTCTAAATAGCTTTCTATACTTTGAACAAGAAACGGATTTTCCCCATTTGATATCTAATTAATTAAAAAAATCTAGGGCTAAAGACTAGACATATGTACCATTAGGTTGACTACCACAATACTTTATCAAGGTTGATTATAAAAATATTTTATTATTTTCAAGAAATATGGCTTTTTGAAGGCTCTGGGTTTTTCTGAACCTGTTATGAGGGGTTAAATCCTGTCACAAAAAGCATTCAATTTGATGTATAGGGCATATTATCACAGGGAAGTGTACTGTCATATGGCATTATGACACTTGAACTCCAGGGAGAAATTTGGGTCGAGTGTCTGGTTAATATGTTCCAGCCATCTTCCTGAAGCTGCTTAATGCTTGCTGTGTTTTGACCCTAATTCTCCTAAAGCACATTTCTCCTCCCTCCTACCATGTTTTGAACTCCCACTGATGCATCATTAAAAGTTGGGATAGATCCTGGGAGACGATGAAAACATTTCTTTGGATTTTACATCTAATTCTATCCCAACTTCTAAAAGGTGAATGGGACAACTATTTTTAACTGCCTTCAATGAAACATATTTAATTTTTTCAATCATGTGGTCAGAACTTCTTACAATAAATGAAATACAATGGTTTAAACTCATTTTGTTTAAACTCATTTTGTTTACTGACCTCAGAGGAAAAAAAGAAAGCTTGCCACGATACCCTGAAATGTTTATATCTGATAGCTCCATTATAACAAATTTATTTGGATTGCACAGATCCAGCTACAATGTGAGCCACATGATATCTCCAAATGGATCATAAAATTAAAAAAAAAAAAAATATTTGGTTGTCCCAAGTGCCAAAATGGCAAGTAATAAAGCTTTTCTAACTCTTGGAAGATTGTTAGGCCACTTCTTAGAATAAATAATCTGTGCTCTTGAGGAAAAGACAGAGGTCATCTGTGGGTCCCATGCTCCTTGTTAGATACTCTGAAATAACACTTTTCCTTGACTGATATTTGTGAATCCTAGGATGCTGCCCTCCCAAAAGCTCCATCCCTTAACACCTGGCTATTTCCTCTCCCTCAAGATTTGCCCTCATTGAACAAGATTTGCCCTCTATTGCTAAGTTATTGATGCTAAAATATGAGGATGGAAATTGAATTAGTCAATCATATGATGTTGTGAGCCTGGACATTTGAAATCTGGTGGCTGAGACATCAAGTAATGCAAATATTCGTTTTGATTTAAATATCTAAGAATCCTGTAGATACTGCTTAAGCCCACTTGACAGGACCTCTTCATTCAGAAGAGAAAGACCACTGCTAGGTAACTTCAGTCTCATAAGAATTGGCAGTCAACCATGATTTTTCACTGTGACTGTTACTCTAATTTCTGGCTGACTCCTTAGAGACAATGTTGTCTGAAATAAAACATTTGGTCAACTAAGGGCCACAGTCACTATTCCTCTTCCCTTCTCCTTCTTTTTCCTCTCTACATTCCACCTAGACCATTTATGAAGGACGGGTTTTTGTGTCTTCTGATCTTTTAAAGCAGGGATTTTTTTTTTTTTTTTTTTGGTGTTTGTTTGAAGTGGGCTCCACGTTAGGCTTGAACTCATGACCCTGAGATCAAGAGTCAGATGCTTAACTGACTGAGCTACTTAGAAGCCCTCTAAAATCGGGTTTAAAATGGAATAAAAACCAGTTTCCAAAAAATCTGTAACTCTGACAAAGCTGTGGGAACCTTTTAAGGATTTAGAAATAGGTAGTTAGCAAAAGGTTACTTATCACATTGTTTAGACCAGATTTCCCATTTGGGCAAAATTTCTAATTTTCCAACTTGAAAATTGTACTACATATATGTGGGAATTCTTGCTTAGAGGCTGATATTCATTTGAAGTTGACAAAAGAATATCTATCTATTTAACAAACACAACCCACTTTATTTTTCAATAGTGCCATCTCTAACAACTTTGGTATTGCCTTTGTGGATATGATAGAACAGATAAAATATTTCATTAGTATTAATATTTATAGAAAACATGGGGAAATGAAGAAATAATTTGAATGACCCAACCAATGAATTATCAAATCATTTATACAGATTTTGAGTAAGGAAACACAGAAAATGAAGTAACCCCAAAATATAGGTGGTTGCCATTACTTCTGGTCCAAGTCTCAGCAGTGACACAGTGAGTGAAGCCAATACTATTAGACCAAGTATTTTGGGGTGGATAGAGAAGTGCAGAGCAAGCAGAGGATGCAGGATTAGAGACCACCACATAGCTGCTGGAGAAGAGCTTCTGCGGTTGAGATTTGTTTTCCTCTCTCCCCACTCTCATCCCCTAGGGTCATTCGAGACCTCAGTTCTCTTTCCTTGTTTATACCACTGCTATACTTGACCCTGGTGTGTTCCTATTGCTTACTAGGCAAACAGAAGTGCTTAGAAAGTCTCTTTCATTGGGACCTCACTAGTATTTGATGGTGGAATAAATGCCTTGAGTTGTTTAAACTTTAACATATGCTCATTGGTTACCGTATAGGTGTAAGAAATGCTGTGATTATGACCCAAGCCCCTGATTTTCTATTTCTATCTTCCTCTTTCCTTGGGTCTATCCCCTAGTCTTTGACTTCTTTTTTATACTTCCTTTCCTCTTCTTCCACATCTTTCCTTCTTTAATTGTCTTCTATACTTTTATTGGTTCTTCTTTCATTGATCCTTCTCAATTTCCATTTTTAACATTTTTTTTTCCTGCTCAATACTTTTACTACTATCCCTGGACAAACCCAATTCCCAAATAATAATATAACTAAGGGGAGCACTGAGCACATACAACAGCAATATTGGAACATTTACAATACCTACCAACTGTGCCATTAGCTCAAGACAGAAAATAAGCTGAAAGGATGGAGTGACACTAACTTCCATCGTTTTATCATCTTGTGTATAAGTTCTGCTGTGCTTAAGGAGCATAATTCAGGTAATAAAACCTTTGGCAGGGTGTTGTTTCATAGAGGCAACAATGTCCTGTAGAAAATGAAACCAGGCAGGAAGTCAGGAGATAATGGATCCTGTTCTTCCAAACACTGGGTAACCTCCGGTAAATAAATCCTGCACTGTGGACCCCACCTCGGTTTGCTATTTTGTAAACCCTAATATCTGATAGACCTGTGTGAAGGATTAATTAGATAATATACATAAAAATACTTTGTTCTTTAGAAGGGGAGAACTGTGATGTAATAATCCAGTATTTATCATCTGTTCATCAGATAACATGATTTGGTGATTGTCACACAAAGAACAAACATTTTTATTATCAAATTTGGGTTAACTCACTCCTAGGCTGCAGAGCTGTTGGAACCACCATTCCTGGGACCTAATCAATTATCGTCCCTTCCTAAATAGTCTTTTGGCTTACCAGGCTTTCTGAAACTTCTTCTTATAGTAGTAGATTTGCTCTTCTCCAAAGCCCTGAGCAGCCACAAGAAAGCATTCTTAAGTCTTCTAAAATGCTATGATTATTTGAAGAGCAGAAGAGAATCAGATGTGTGTGTGTGTGTGTGTGCGCGCACGCATGCACGTGCACACGTGGGTGCTTCCAACAACAGAGAGGTCCCTGAAGAGAGAGTCAAACATTGAGAAGGGATATATGCTCTTAGTCTCCTTTCATAGATCTTGTTCCTCAATTAGTCACTGAAACAAGAGGACTTCTCCATCTTGGGCCTGAGGGGCAGTTGTGAGTGTGTGAAAACCTTTTAAACATCCAATTTCATGGTATACATGCTAGAAAAATGATTTTTTTCTCTTCTTTCTGATCATTCAGTTTGAACCTACTCAGAAAAACTGCTGATTCATTGGACTATGAAATACAGACTCTTCTTAAGAGGCATTTCCTGTAGTAGCCCATTTCCAATTATGTAACGCTCTTCTGCTAGTCAATTCATAACTCCTTAAAAAGCTCCCTTAAAATTCTCAAGTTCACTTGTAACTCTGAGGGGAACTCTACACAGACCTTCAAAAATCAAAATCTTTTATGACTGAATACATTTCCAGATTCATTTAATAATGCCACTCTCAGAAAACTTTACTTTTTGGACCCTCCCCTCCCCTTTGCTGTGGTAAAAGAATATAAAAAGTTCTATTAATAAACAACTTTAAGCATTCTTTCACTGAAAAAGTCTGTAGCAAAAACCAAACATAAAATGAATAAAAAGGTAATAAACTCAGTATTTTAGATCCATTTCTCAATTTTTGTCTAAACACATTATGACCAAGTAGCCTCTACTTACTTTCATGCATATATACATATATATATATATATTTACACACACACACACACACATATATATACTTAAATGTATATATTTTAACAACATGGAATGGTAACATCAAATGCTTAGGTTCCATGCAAACACATAACCCTTCCTGTGAAGGAAACATATTAATATCATAAAAACAAATCATGGAGAGTAACATGCAACAGCTGAGGGGAGGAGAGTGGGGTTGGGGCAGGGGACCCGGAGAAATACAAAGAATGTAAAGAACAAAAAGTGTCATTGACCTGATTTGTCAGAGCTGTTGCCTGTGATTGGAGTGATGGAGCAGCTGGGATTAGCCTTTGCGCTGTCCTTGGAAGAAACCATTTTGGGTTTATTTTTCGTTGCCTCTAGTGCTTTGACCTTCTTGGCATGTTTACTTCCTTTGTAGTGGGCCTCGGCCTGGCTCTACAAAGGAGAACAAATCAGGCTCATTTTTTTGCTACTTACAAACACCACAATGGATGATCATGCAGGAAAATATACATTCAATCATAGGCACCACGGACATTTACTACTCAGCACTCAACTATGTTTTTGGCATTTAATGAAGTGGTAGACCAGTTCCTAAGGGGGTGTTGCATATTGAAACTTTCTCTACAGCACAGAGGACCTGTGTCTTTAAAAACCAGACATTATTATGAGTAGACAACAGGGCCAGGGCACAATTGTGATGCCTTGTGCCCTCCCGCCACTGCCCGTTGGGGTTACTTTCAAACATTGAGCTGGCAACAAGCTGCTGTGAGTGTCCTTCCACAACATTCCATTTTGTTTCCCTTCAGCTAAAAACCTGTTTGCCCTGCATCTACTTTCGTCTAGGCTCTGCTCTCTCCGAGAGCAACTGATGTAACACAGCAACCTGCTGTGAGTGGAAATGGAGCTACATTTTAGAATCGTCTACATGTGCTTCACGCAGCATTTTGAAGATCCCAGTTCCAAGAATGGATAATTTAAGCCACAAAGGAAGGACAGTCCTTGTTTCTAATCTCAGAAGTCATTCTGAAGTCAAAGCAGTTCGTGTTACGTTCACTTACATGCAAAGCATAGGTGGAACTGTGACTTCAATACTAGATCAAAAGGAAGAAAAGAGATCAAGACAAGTGACTACTAAAAATCTTTAAAAGACAAAAACAAATTACAGGAAAACAAGAAAACATTTAATTAATTTATTGGCATTTGGAAATTTTCTCTCTGCCTAAAGAATAAGGATTTTATATTTTGGACATCTAGCACGAATACGCATATTAACAAAAGAATCTAAGTATATTCGCTTCAATTTCATTTTCAGTAGACCCTGAAAATAAAAACATGCATTTGGCAAAAACAAAAAAACAAATGGAGACATATTATATGGCATATTAGCTTAGTTATAAAGATGAAATGGATGATAAACTTATCATAAAATGAGTTCTCATAACAAAATTTCTAAAATAATAACTTTTTTTATGTCCGTTTTCCTTATACACGTGTATGCACTTGAAGATGATTATACTAATGTTTTCATTCATTTTCCTCAGCAAGCAGAATACAGGTGGTGTGTGTGTGTTTGTGTGTGTGTGAGCACATGTGTAAGTAGGTGGGTAGAAGTGACAATGGACAGAACAAGCCAGGTTTTAATTCTATATTTCAACTAAAGGGATGTACGTGATTTCCTTAGCATAGAACACTGACCATTCAAGGTCAATAGCCTTATATTGACTGCACACAGTACCTAAGTTCCTGAATATCTTTTCATAAATATAATTGTAGATCATCACTGACTTGTAATTGCTCTTAGTTGGTTGGCTCAAGGATTTCTCATAGTATTCTCTGTCTGGTTGGAAAAAATAACGGTCCCAAGGGAGAGAAAAGTGGAACATAAGTTCTTTACTTATTAGAAAGCAAGAATGCTTAAATCCAGCTAAGGTAGATGGTTGGATACAAATAAGAAAATATACAAATAAAAACTTAGAAGTTGATAACATGAAGTGATAATAATAGTGACTAATATTATTGAGTGTGCCAAGCACAGTTCTAAATGTATAGCTCATTTAGTCCTCATAATACTCTGTGAGGTAGGTTATCATTATTAATCAGCATTTTACAGATGGAAAACTAGGCAGAGAGAAGTTAAATAACATCGAAAGTCACACAGGTAGATGTAGAAGCCATTTTGTCGATCTGAAATGCTTACATGGACACCCCTATTTAACTGTATGCCCACACATTTACATACACATACTCACACTAAGTTAACAATATAATTTTAATAAAAGGAAAAAATACACACAAAGAAGCCACACTGCTTTTAATGACTCAGTGAAGAGTATGTCTTAACAGAAGTTTCTATGAGTAGGAAAAATCGACTGAATTCATGGGAAATATACTAGCATAGTATGTTAGGCCTGCTCCTTCCTGAAGAGCTAAGGAAGTCCCATCTTTTGGGTATATAACAATTTCTACATGATACCAGGAGACCTAACAACTCATCTTTCCAAGTATACTAAATAGTGCGATGTTACTTTAGTGCCCTCCGGCTAAAGAAACATATGGTTCTCTAAATAAAACCTCCTAGCACTAGATAAGCGGAGTGTCATTTCCTCATTACAATTTCCTGGCATCACTGCCGAAAGTTAACAGCATCAATTAGCACTTGAGATAAAGATCCAGCTAAGTGACACCTCCCTGGATGCCAAGATGGAAAGAACTCTTCATAGCCATGATCCACTTTCCTTTTGAGTTCTGGGGCACGGAGAGAAGTGCAACAAGGGAGCTTAGCTTCTACTCGATGTTATTTGGGAAGGACTCATGGGATAAAGATAGTGGCCGGCACCACTGACTCACATTTGGCATCTTTCCAATTCCCGTTTGGTATTCTTGGTAGGAGCACTTTGCTATCCTCAGTCCTGTATCTGGGGCAGTGTCAACGGCTTCTAAATCCTGGGCAAATCTTCAAGTGAAACTGAGACACTGTTAAATAGTAACACGATTAACCTGACTTCCTTATCTAGGACTCTTCTTCGTTGCGCAGTGAAAGAAACAAGGACAAGAGCCAGAAAACCCATGAACTAGGCAGCACAAATCAAGTCCAATCGACAACAGCTCTTGTGTCACTTCCGAGAGACCTGGTTGACCAAGCTGACTTACTTTACACACCTCAGCGACTGAACAGGAGACACGTATTTGTCTAGCTCTAATGGTCCGCTTTCTGCTTCTCCGCCAAAAGTGCTGTTGTGCCCCTGACTGGCAATGGTTCAAGAAACCTTTCTTGCCAAGAACTGTCTGAATTCGAGAGTTGCCTGAGCCACCATATTGACCTCCACAAGAGAATTCCTCAGGATTGAGGTTCTTGTCTCACAGATCACCCCAGGAGCAACCAGACCACCTACTGGTAGAGGAAGAGCTTTGATAGGAAATGACATCCTGGAATTTTCTCTTCTGTTTATCTCCATGTTTGTTACTAAAGGCTTTTGCTTTCCCAAATCCTCTCCATCTCTCAGGACCCCTCTGGTCCAAACAAAAAAGATACAGAATGGGATGATGTATTGCTTTAAAAATAAAAACATAACACTAAACATTTCTAAAATTCACTGTGCTCCCATTTCTGGTTTTTACCTTATTTCTAATTTGGACTTCAGGGACATGCCTAGGATCTTGAAACACGATGTTAAACTGTGTTCACCTTGTATAGAAAGGACACTCCCAAGCACAAACTTACAAAATGTCCGGGGAAGAGCAATGTTACTAGAGAAAGTCCTCAACCATTTATTTACCAGTGGAACTCAGCTTGTTGCATTTAAAAAAGTAATTAGAACTCTTCCCTTCGTTAAAGAAAGTGAATCATTCTAACTATTGGTGCCTAATTTTCTGAGACCTTAGATTTCAGGATGTTAAGCAGCGTTATATGAGAAATAGCAGAGCTCAGTTAATTTTCAGAGAAGCTCTATACACTAAAATGTCAAATAAAAAAAGATGTCAAATGAACCACCATAAAAACAGGCTACACCAACAAGGGGAAAACGTTCTTATTATTGCACAAAGAATTATTTAGCACCTGCCATGTGCTAGACATCGAGAAAGATTAAAACCAAAGACCCCTACTCACAAGAGTGGTTGGAAGGAAAAGACGTGCATGCAAAGAACTACAACTCAAAGCGGAGAGTGGAATTATAAAATGGGATGTAAAGAGCAACAAAGAAGCCTAGAAGTTATAGGAGAGGTAAGGCTCTCTGGATTGGAGGTGATCACGGAAGCTTCAGGAAAAAGAGGCATCACAGCTGGGGCCTGCCCTAGGGGGCAGGGTTCTAAAGCAGCAGAAGGGCGGAGGGGGAGGTATTTCAGGCAAAGGGAACAGCATGTGCTAGGGTAGTGAGGTCCTGTGAACTCTGCTGTATTCCCCGGGCACGTCCGCTTCTCAGCATCACCAGAACACAGACAGATAAAAGGAACAACAGGGAAAGGCTGCTGCATCGTGCTAGCCTGAAAGTTATTATCCCCTGTAAAACAGAAAATGTATAAGAGTGTCCTACAATTAAAACAACAAATGTTCTTTTGGTAGGCCTCTTACAGAGAAAATGGTTATAAAGTGAGATGTGGCTTTTGCATCACAGACTTTATCCTCTGCTCCAAACTATAATCCTATATTAAAACAGCAACTAAATTATTTATATTGAAGCTTTAATAATTATTTGAGATAAAAGCATGGCACTTAAAAATACTACAGCTAAGCATATTAAGGAACAAACTAAAGATTACTGAGTATTAGCTAAATAACTATTTGAATTTTTCCTTTAACATAGACTATTATTAACGATTAAAAGGCTGTTTGCAAACACTTGCTGCACTGACAAAATCACACACTCTGAGACAAAGCTACCGCGTACGAAACATAACATGCACCCAAGAACAAGGCTTACTTAACCCAGAGATGGCTGGTAAATCTTTCTGCTGCTATTTGCCATTGTAAGGCCTACAATATAGTAATGACATACCCACCGGCTTTGATACTCATTTCATTCAATCCTCAGTCTGAGATCTGTTGAAAACAATGTCTAGACAAAAATCATAACCAATATGAGGTTTTTAGCCTAGAAGGACATAATGTTTTTGCTAATTTCTACTTTATAGCTAAGTGAAACACTCCAGGTTGCTAGAGCCTGTCCAGAGTTTGCCACATTGCAGAGCTCCGGGAGTGAGCGAATGGTGGTGATCTCTGGATTCCTGTGAGGCCAGGGTTCGAACTGGCCACGGCCTTTCATATTCAATGGCTTTACAGTACGTATGCAGAAAATCCCATCAACTCCAAATATTTCTAGATTACTGAAGAGAAACGTAGTGGCTCTCTAGGAAGAAATGATGTGCATGCTAGACTGCTAATGCTCTTTGGGCCTGATTTACATTCTATCAAATATCATTAGACAAAAGTGGAG